GAAATAAATATACAATGACTATATATATATATTAATTCTGTAACTAAGGAAGTGCAGTAATGTAGCCTCTGGTGGACCCTTGCTTATATTCAATTATTCTAACCACTGCAAGACAAAAAGTATATGAACACTAATATCCATACATACCTACAGTTACCATGCCAATGTCTTCCATTGCAGTTTTCAATTCATCCTTCAGGTCTCGTGCATTCTTGTCTGTCAGACTGTTGTACTTAAGAACACGAACAGGAACAGCATACGGTTTAAAATCTCTCAATTCATCACTTACCATGAAGATCAATATATGAGATGCTGCTATTCGTGTCTTTGTAGTAATACCTTAAATATTAAAAACCTTATAAGAAAATTAATATATGACTGTATGTTAACTGTACAGTACTACTCCATGAAACCTATGATAGAAGATAGTGAAGTGATATAATTTTAATTAATTCAATTTATATACAACATTTCCATGATGTTTGTAATTGCTTTGCTAAGAAGCATACAATCTGATTGAAATATTTTCATCCTTTTGCAATATAATGAAATATATATTTAACCTTGGAACATGTGGCACACATAAATTGATCTATAAAAATAGAACTAACACTTTAATTTATTATTAATACCTTTAACATAATCCAGTAATTCTTGACGTAAACTAGTCAGAGTTGTTGCGATATTTACAGAATAATTGTTTTCACTATCCAGGATGCTGATGATGTTATTCAATGACTGTGACAAGGACACATTCTTCTCAAGCAACTTGCTAAACTCTTCTACGTTCCACGCACATGCAAACAATGCTTTCTCTGTAGATTTGGCCATATCCTGGACATTCTTGTAATCCTTTTTGGCATCTGCATGACCATTTGTCAGGAACTCATTCTCTATGGATAGCTTAGAGCACACCTTTTTAAGATCTTCTTTGACGTTGTTAGATGAAGCCCCATCATTCAACCCTATATTGGGGACAAGCTTAAGGTATTCTAAGTATTTGGAATACTTACTCCCTAACTTACCATCTCCTAGGTCTACATCACCTGACCATTCATTTCTCATGGATTCTCTGAGTCCCTCTTGAATATCAGTACCATCAGCTTTCAACCACCACCTTCCATTTGGATAGGCTTCATGTAAAAATTTCAAAGCAGATATCTGTGAAATACAATTAACAGACATAATTAATGTACAGTACTTACAATTAATATTTCAATCAACTACATTCTTTCTTAGTTGGATGTATTTGGGTTTTGAGCAGGGGGGGGGGAGTTTTTCATCTGTAACTTTAGGGAAATACACCCCCCCCCACCCGAACGTAATTGCCTTGGTATGCCAATGTACACCAGTATACATACCTGAATCTCAGTGCCCTTGCTAAAATCACTGGCCTTGTTCATCCGCTGAATTGTCCGTGCACTAGGTCCAGCAATATTAATTTTTGCCTAGAAAATAGAGAAAAGAATGTACTCAAATCACAGCATTTAACTGTAATCAATCTAAATGAGTACAGTATAACTACATAATTATATGGACAGGTCAATTACAACTTACCTACTAGAATAATTTACCTTCAAAGGATCTCCTTTAATGGTCCTGCCAGACTTCACAACATCATCATTTGTATTTAAATCTTGTGCACTTTCCAATGCAGGCAATGGGTTTTCCATACTTACCATATTTGTGTCGGATCCAAATGTTTCTTGCAATGCTTGGCTTATAATATCTAAACTTAACGAAGAATCATTAGTAACAGGCACATGCTCACTTTCTACCTCATAGGACCACATTGGTCCCAAGTGCATTGATGCCCACTTGTTTCCAAACAAAGTGTACATGGATTGACACCAAGATTTGTAGTCATCTGGAGCTTGAAGGGTGTAAACGTTGTCGGATGAGAAAAATTTCAGATTATGTGAGATTAGACCAAATGGCATTCTATCCAATGGCATTCTAGGACTAGCACCTCCATGAAGTTGTTCCCCAAAGCATCTAGCAGCATAATAAATAAGATTATCTTTATTACCAGCACGGAGTACAGACATAGCATTGGCAATAAGTGGTAAGAGCTGTGGAGGGACGAATGTTGCATCTAAACGAGGGTTAATGTCTTCTACCATCCATTTTTGAAACAAGTGGATGAGTAGTTGTTCTCGTTGTCGTGGAGTTAGACTTGAAAACCCAGAGGACACAATATCAAGAATACAGCCTGGAAGTTTGGTAAAATCTGCATCACGTAAGGGAGAAAATCCAAGCAGTGGAGATCTTGCAGATGTAGTATGACCAGACACAACATGTGGAGTAGATGGTACACTCTGGCCCACAGTTGATACCTACAGTATGATATGAATAGTAATTACATGATGTAATTATAGAGTACTTTGCTATAAAGCGTCTATATTTTACCTTTTCACCAAAATAGGAAATTCCATAAGCTTCTTCAGCAGATGCAATTGTTGGGAACTTCTCCTTTAAGTATCTTCTAACCATGTTTCTACATGCATCTCCTAAATAGATATTATATAACAGAGATATTGAATCAATAATTTTAATTATTTTCTGATAATAATCAAGTTAATAGTAAAACAATAAAATTCTGTCGGGTGTATTTTAGGTTAATTATCGATAGGTTCATAATAGCTACATGTACTATAAATATTTTTATTATTAGACTTAATCCAGATTTACTTACCAGATCGCTTGTTCCCGATGTTGTAACAGTTAACAGCATCGGCACATTTCCCCCAAAGTTCATCATTCTTACCAGCTGGCCAGACATTGAATGAATTTTCATCAGGTGAATAATACAAAGCAATATACTCAACCAATGCTGACACTTCCTCATCTTTCCACATAGTTTGTACCTGCACATAGAAAATATTCAATTTTAAATCCTCTGTATACAATCATACAATACTTGCAAATGAGATGCATATTCATAGGGACATTCATTAAGAGGACACTGTGTATCGTAACAAACAACTCATTTATACAGCTGTATCATGCCACTTGATATATTTTGCTGAATTGCACAGTGTGTCAATGTGCCCATTTGCGCCTTACTTTATTATTTTATTCTGTAAAATCGTCTAACGTCAGACAATTTTACTTGTCAGGGGGAGAGTGCCACCACTCAACGGGTTAATTAAACCACATGGATACAGGCTCTCTAATAACTGTACACAGTGGCGAAAATCTTGGAAATCGACGTACCCCACACCTTCATGGAAAATTGACCAATTTTCAGAAATTTTGACCTAAAAGAGGGCTAAAAACAGTCTTTTCAAGTGCAAATGGTGGGGGGGAGGGGGGGTGGGGAGGGGTACATCGGAAATTTGAAAGTTTTGTCGGAAATTGTAGGAGGCTTTGCCCCCCCCCCACCGGAAAAAGTGAATGTCGGCCACTGACTGTACACCCCATAACTTTGGGTACAAATACTTTACACGCCCACCCAAAAAGTGCTCAGGGTGTTGAAAAGTTCCATTTTAAAACGGTTGGTTGAAACAAGTGCACACTCAAACTGTAAACAATGAAATAACATATATTAAGTAATAACTATAAATAGATACCTTCTGATTCTTCTGCTCCACACCCTGTTCTAAATCGGTATCTGACTGGAAAAGTGATTTCCTCAAAAACCTTCCAGACGCGCCAGATCTTCTCTTTTCTGGCTTTTTTCCTGGAGTTTGGCCAGTCGGAGGGTCGTGAACCCTTTTTGGGCCCTCAGCCATCTTAACCTATCAAAAATGAAAACAATTTACGTTAGATTCCGAAACAAATTATGTTTACTTCCTTTATTAAAATGAAACGCTTCGGCCAAAGCCAACAAAAATGGGAAAATCGCATAGATATAAATTCTAAAAAAATATTAAAACAACTCCTAAGTCTTATAAACAATATTCTAAAAATAATTTACCACTTTGACAAATATTTATTGAAAATATCATCCTTGATAGCGCAAAGTATTAGACGCCATTTTAGCGAACGTCGAGTTGACAATAGTCACTTCAACAGCCAATATCTCGAAAACTGCCGGGGGATCACCGGGATCATTCCAGCAGATTTAAAGCTTATACTTTTGTCTTGAAGACTACCAAACAGGAAGAAAATCGAACCATGGGAATTCTAGATATTTCATTTTAAACATTGTAGATATATTTAGACTTGAGTCAACACGTCGCAGGGAGTCGACTAACTTCAAACATCAAAATAACATTGAAAATAACGTTTACCTCAGAGATATTTTCAGATATCACCAGATCTTTAGTAGTAGTACTACAACACTTGAGATTTTGCAAGAAAATTTCAATATTAATATTTTTTCTCGATTTGTTTTCCGTCGAATGCAAATTTTTATGTCCAAATTCTGCTGATAACACGATGGAAAATAGAGCGATCTCATTGGTCGAGAGCTCACGTGACAACTCGCTAATTGCTTGTCGTACCTCCTCTGCTACGACGATAACCGAGAACTACTCGAAGTTGATCATACTAAGTTCGTAAAATGTTCGTAAAATGCGACTGCGATTTTGAGCCACGGTCCGCGGTTCTGATGTTACTAAATATAGTAAGTTCTAGCCACTTTGAGCCACGGTGCAGCGTGTCAAGCCAATCACAGGCCGAGATTTTATCATGTGAGCCACGGTGAGCCACGGTGGCCATGTTTTTGTTGCGCAATATTATGGAAATGGCTTAAATCGGGAATTGTTCGGAAACTTCTCACCATGAATAGTTCGACATGGCTTCTAGTACGAAGTTTAGTGAAATTTTTTGGCGCTTAAACTCACAAGAAGACGTTTCGAGCGAGATTTTGTTGTTGAATCAAGATTGTGGTCCGGAAGACAGCAAGGGAAGTTGGAATAGAAAACATATACGAACGTCCAGAAAGATAGACCTGCGCTTATATGGGCTTTGCTAAATATAATACCTGCAAGGTGAGACGTACTGAATCTAAATTCTAATATTTAGAACTTGTATGTAAAGTGCGTATATGTAAATTTATTGTGATCGAATATATTACAGCGAAATATTAGTAATGTTTTATTTATGCAGTCGATTCAGTATATATATTTAATTAATTTCATTTCTTTGTGATGAAGTTATAATGCAATATGAAATAATATTACATGTAACTGCCTGGTTGGTATATTAAATTGTGAATTTTAGTAGATCCGTATAACAATTTGTTAACGACAATTATACCGTTTGTTGACAAGTATGCATTAGTTATCTGGCGCCTACATATACTAGCAATACAATATGTTTACAAATTCAAGGTTGCTTTATTTGTAAATATTTTGGTGGCAGTATGGTGGCATATGTTTTATTTATATATTGAATATCCTTATTCTGTCAAACAATAGTGGATAGAATTAGGATGTGTTTATATGGAAGTGAGCCATCTTCATATTGAGATGTGTTTTGAGATGATCTTAATTCAGGTTCCCAGTCAGAAAATCTTTTGTCGGCAAATATTTCTTCTGCTATGGGGTGACGACTAGATGAGTAGCATGCAAAAGGCATGGAAGCATAACTTGCGAAAACTGATTGTGTGCAGGCCCACTCATTTGTATCCATCAGGATGAGAAAATCATGATGAACAAAATCACTAACTGTAAATCAGGCTTTAGGTAGGTTGTCAAGCAAAAAGTCCCATTATGGAGCAACATAACATTGAGCCATTAAACACTTGAAAGCATGTTGTAACCTGCACACTGTTACACTCATGAGCATTTAAACAATCATGGAAATGGAGGAAATGTCATGTAAGACTACAGCTAGATTACTGATATAACTATTCTTATTATCGGTGCATACATGGTGGGCAGTTACCCCCTCCCCCAAATAATTCCTGAAAGTCATTGAATGGTGGCTGAATAACTACATGTGTAACAAAGCTGCAAAAATTAATAATTTTAGTATTTTTACATCTAATTGAAAGTTATAAATTGGTGGGATATACATTAAGCAAATTTGCAAGAGATTTATATATAAGTTTAACCCATTGAGTTGCAGTGTGCCCTAATGAGGCCTAAAGTGTCGTACTTTATTATTTTACTCAGTCTAACACCAAATGGCTTTACTTGTCAAGGGGAGAGTGCTGGCTCTCAATAGGTTAAAGAACTGAGGTTAAAGAATTGAGAACTGGCAACTGGGTGGTAATATGGTAGTCACCCACATCCTCCCCCATTGTCTTATATACCTGTTACTCAAACAACCATGTAGATATTGGCCATGCAAGC